ATGTATTTTTGATTTCTAAAAATCATTGCTAAAACATATCTGAAAATTAAATTTTTTAAAGGGAAGATAAGAATTTCACAACAGATTGTATCTTACACTCAAAAATATAATATGTTAGTAGCTAATATGTGTCTTATATCTAGTAGCTAAACAAGATTATGAAACCATACAATTCAAAACAATAAATGTAGCTTTAGAAGTATTTGGGTAAAATACAGTTCCTCATAAGTTTGAATTCAGTAAACCATTTACATATTATTAATATTTTTTTATTTTGATAGTAATTTTGGTTGTTATGCCAACCAAGGTGATGTTTGAAGACAAACAAACACATGTTTAATGTACTATGGTTGGAGGGCATGCTGTTGTAGGTATGATTACTTTGAAAGGCAATTAAAATGAATGACAGATAATTGAAGGGCCTTTTTTATCTCTAGCAACTGAATGACTTTGACATTATACTATTCTAGGGTACACATAAATAAAAATGTTTAACTGTATTACTATGTTACAGTGTTATTTTGTAATATTCCAATACAATGGAAAGGAGATGAGTCTTCACAATTTGATCAAGACAGAACTCAAAAATGATAAAAAAACATAAATAAGAACCTTGCAAAGTTTGCAAAAGTTATTAAATTTGAACCTTCTTCACAGTTCATTAACTTCATAATCATTTGAATAATTCATTATTCACACATGTCTATACAATATGTGTACCCACTGCAAGTTTGCATAATGATTATTTCACACTATCCAAGTGATAAGGCAGAGTAGAAACAGCTACACTAGTAAAACATCACAAAAACAGGTTTTTATTCAAAGACATGTTATTATAGAAAATGGCTTGGGTCATGGTCATATAGTTCCTCTCAGTGTTTTAATGAGTTCTGTTAATATTTGTCAGATTTATTATAAAAAAATCACTTGTAATAGACAAGTGGTTTTTTGCTAAATATTCTATTGGTTATACCTTAATTCACAATTTGTAAGTTCACAGTTAGTAAAGCAATATGTTGATATTTTTGATTTGAATAAATAAAATATGTGGAAACATTTTAAATACCTATTCTTCTATAATTATTAAGAAAATAAGTAATATCTGCAACATGTATAGCTATGTTTAAGGATTGGTTACATTATAGTCTATTATTAGTGAGTTAATTACAATAATGAGCTTGATTGATAGATACATAAGTGTAATGAAGTGACAACTGAACAATTTGGGTTAAGTGTTCTAATGAGATTGCAAGTGGAAGTTAACAAGAGGATTGCTAATGACCAACGAAGTTATTTTGCAATTAGTTTAATATTTTTATTTATTTAAGTATCTTCATGGATTAGAAGAATAATTTACACTTAGTGTTTAAATTCAAAATGCAATAGGTATTTATAATTTAAGCAAATAATAAAACGAAACTGGAAATATATACTATTTGTATTGAAGTATTCATTTACATAATTTTGTGCCGAAAATATGGATGTAAGTATGCATTTTAAGCCTCGGTATATTTTTTATTATTTACATTGAAACTGATTCAAATTCTTGTTTTTCTAAGAAAAATGACCTTTAAACATCTTTTTTTAACAGGCCAAGATGCCGCAAAACTGGTTAATTTAATAGAAACTTAGCATCTCACATTTTAAAGTAGTTTTATGTAAGTAGGTAGTTAGACATCCGTAATTTCTTATGTTCATTTAGACAAGCCACTTTTTTAAATATAAACTATCATGGCCAAAGACCTACTTACCCAAAATTCAGATCCACAGAAGCTATCAAGCGTGGAATTGTAAGACATTGTCACAATTTGTGATTATTAGTTACTTGTAACTGCCATTAATTTACGATGTAACTGACACTCTATCGACATGTATTTAATTATTATAACGACTGGTAACGAACAAGTATCTATGATCTAAAAAGAATCATTCACTAAAAGTACTTTTATGAGTTATAAAAATTCGATAAATTTTTCAACATCACACACTACACCACACCGCACCGTACCGCGCACCATAGACGGAATAAAATGTCAGCAGCAAATGGGACCACAGACTAAGATGATCGGACATAAATACTTTTTAAATGGGTTTTTTATGCTTGACACTAAGTCTTTTTGCATATAGAGCGCTGTTATCATAATATCATAGTCATGTTAGTTCTCTTACTAATATAATAAATGCGAGTTTGTGTGTAGGTTTGTTACTCAGTCACATCAAAACGGCTGAAAGGATTGGAATGAAATTTGGAACAGGGTCATGATGGGTATATTATTGTCTGGAATAAGTTAAGTAATAAATAACACATAGGGTCAGGGGCTGTCTGGCAGCATTTGAAGTCCCCGGCTAGGACCGAATATGGGATCCCCAATATTTTCTGGTTGGGTTTAAAATCTATGGATCACATAAAGAGTTGTTCCGTGCGAGAATCGAACCCACTTCACTTTGCGCGTTCAGCCGGTTGCAGCCACAGTGCCAACCAAGCAGTCTTATCGTCTTCCTAATATTATACACAGTTACACACACAGATATAATAAAGAAGGAGATATGGTGTGGAGTCAAAAATGTATGCAAAACCGGTGAAGCTACAACTGCCCCTCCATAAAACTAATATTTCACACACAGTTCTGACAAAACAATACTACGAATAAGTGCACACACGCGGCATCGATAACTCAGTAATTCAAATATAAGCCTGCACGTTCTCTTATGATTTACTCACACTAAAACAATTTGTCACTGTGTGTTAGGAGTGTTTTAGGAGCGTCGCCGTAGTGACTTGACGATATCGATAACTCCCGATGAATATATCGATAAATTTATTACAAAGCTTTTGGAAATAAAGAAAAAACGACATAAAACCAACAAAATATAATTTAATTATTAAAAAATATTTTATGTAAAAAATAATTATCTACATATCAAACGACAAGTTGTATGTAGTTATAATGATATAATTTGGATAAGGAGGTATCGCATTCTTGGTTAATTCTGCTAATTCTTTACCTCTTAATTAGCCTCCTTAGCTAGCACGACTGCTTCGCAAAAGGAGGAGACGGCATCCCAGTCCTTCTCGCTCTGCATCATAGCCCGGACCCCCAAAGAGGATGGATATTCTTGTGTCGTGTTGTTTGGTGGTTTGATGGCTCTTCGAGCGATACTATGCAAGGCGGGTCCGGAGGGAATAACCCAATGAAGCTCTTCACCGCCTGTTTTCCTTCCAAGTGGAAGCTCGGCAGAGTCATGATGCTGCCCAAACAGGGAAAGAATACTCTGCTGCCAGCTAGTGACCGTCCATCACGCTATTGTTGTCAATGTTGTTGCATATACGCCCACATTTGCAGTCACGCGACGAAAAGTTCGGCTTCAGAGTCGAACACTCCACGACCCAGCAGATTGGGAAGGTATTGCACGACGCCGCGCGACTGCCGCGCGTAACAAGCGCGATCGCACCGTGGAACTATTCCTCGACATGGAGAAGGCCTTCGGTCGCATCTGGCACGCCAGGCTGCTCAGTAAGCTGGCCACATCTACTAGTCCTCGCTGAATAGTCAAGATTATGGCCACCTTATTGGACGGCAGAACCTTTCAAGTGGCAGAGGAAGAAGGTACCCTGTCGACCGAGCGCAGCATTCAAGCCGGCGTGCCCCAGGATAGACGACATTCCCGTCGTGGTCGGTGTCAAACTCGCCCTGTACGCCGACGACGCCATGTACCTACTACACGACGTTGCTGAGCTGAACGCCAAGCACGCAGTAGTCAAAATACAGTGCGCCCTATGTGCACTCTCTGAATGGGGGGAGAAATAGAGATTGACTGTGCTTGTGGCCAAAACTCAAGTAGTACTTAAGTATTATGAAGCTGACACCCATGTCCCCAATGGGAGAGCAGGTCCAGTGGGCGCCAAGAGTGAAATAACAAAAGGTAACGCAATTTAAAATACCTATGTAACCTGATTTAGAGGTCGACATTTTACTGCTATTTTGTAGCGCAGGTTGATGATATTACAGAAATGCATTGCACTTCTTTGTATTAAGTACTTAAGATTAAACTGTTTGCTTGAAAAGAAACTTATTTTTACCACACAAATGTTTATTTTTTAATGATATGAATATAATTAGAAACGATTTGGGGCCCTTATAAGCCCTGACTCTCGTGTAACGCGAAGCCGCTGGCATGAGCTGGTAGCGTATTTACGTTAATCAATAATTATTATTTAATATTAATTTAGAGTAGATTGGAAAGTTATCATAATCGTGATCGTTTTATTTTATTATAACCAACGTCATTGGTTGCTTGATTGAAGAAGATTGACTGAAAATTATCATTTACTTGAGCTTATGCATTTCTCTGGGCTCGTTTGAATAATATACGCAATGACGTGGTTAAAGTTTGCTATCCCATGAGTTATATTATATCTATATCTACATATTATAATAAAACTGGAGAAGTGTAAATTCTGTACATTCACAATTTAAACAAAATAAATAGTAAGAGGTGTTACCAGATAGACACCGAAAATGAGATTTGTTTGACAAATTTGTCTGTTTGTGTGTATGTTTCATCACGCAAAAACTATCGATCCGATTACGATGGAACTTGGTATGATTATACTTTAATATCCTGGGCAGAACACTTGGTACTTTTAATCCCGAAAAAGTATATACACAAAAAACAACCTTAATTGTGCGGCTTGATTCCTAGACACAATTACTGTACCAAACGCTAATATAAGTTTGTCGCATATTGGATTGCCCGCAGTGGACTTTACGCTGTATGGCCTATGGTTAAAATTTGTTTGAACCGATATTGTAAACTTGAAAATATGTGAGTTCGTGTGTATGGCCGTTACTGTGTCACATCAAAACAGCTGAAGGGGCCGGGATGAAATTTGGAACAACAGGGGTACATTATGGTCTGGAGTAAAATTATACTTTTTACCCATGGGAACGCGGGCGAAGTCGCTGGCAGAAGCTAGTTTTGAAATAAAACCACAAAAATATTGTCCGAAAAATATTTATTTATGTCAAAAGGTAAAAAGTTTATTTTACAGAATGCAGTTACAACCACTTATGATAATGTAATAGGTACCTAGGCGTGTAGTCTTTTAAATATTTTGATATTTTTCTGGAAAACCATTCAAAATGAACACTGTTGTTATAGGTTACAAGTAATTAATATGGACAGAGATTCAAAAATCATCAAGCTGCACACATTAGTCAATCAATAACTTAAATATTCAGTTTGTTTAATTTATTTTCTTAATTGTAGACCTTAAGACTAATAAATAAATAATAATGCATAATTTTTCTAATAAAAGCCGTCAAATATTATGTACCGCTATAACAGTTTGGATTTAAATATTCACTATTAACCACTGAAGGTGGTGTTGTATTAAATGAAATTAGGGCTTTTATATTAATCCACATACATACATAAGATTTATTATTTCCTGGGGTTTACTTTTAGCGGTTTATTTAAGTACGAATTTTCCCCTTTTTAGCAAAAATAATTTGTTCCAAAATGTTTATTCTGAAATAGATATCAAATCTCAACAAATCTTAATTTTTATTGTAAAATTATTTAACAACAGTATAAAAGTCGCATTTTGCTACTCACAACGTAATACTAATTTGTGAAATAAATAATAATTCGACATTTAGTTTGTCTAAGAACTTACTTAAAGTAAAAATTCGAATGCTGATAGTTAGCTAATTATTTGAATCTCAATAATTCAATGTAAATAAGTACAAATCACAAATAACTGCAATACTACGAGTTAAACTACAGTCAGTGCTTAACTAATTCGTGCTTCAAACTTACAACTAAGTACACGTGCACACACTAGGCTCGTCTAGACACCTCCTTAAACATTATGAGATGCTTCAAATAACCTATGCTATGTTTAAACTTAATTTTGTCTTATATCAATACAGGAACATTGCTCTTACAACGCAGTTTTCCGATTTAAAAATACATAATAATTTAAATGCAGCCATGTATAAATAAAATTAATGTTCAATAAGACCTCATCAATACTGCTGGTAAGTAAATACAATTTATATCGAATAATTGCACCTATCATATCACTTGGAACAAGTTAGCACCACTTATCACAGGTAGCTGCTAAATAGAAGAAGTGTACAATTAAATAAGTTAGTTAACTAATCCAGCATCCTTGGCCATGCTATAGAATAAGGAGTTTTTATCCTTCAGCAGTTGTTCTGGCGGAGCAAACTCGACGAGTTGTCCTTTATCGAGGACCATGACCTTGGTGGAGTCCATGATGGTGTTGAGGCGATGCGCGATGGTGAGCACCGTGCACGCCGCGAACTCGGAGCGGATCGTCTTCTGTATGAGCTCGTCCGTCTCCAGGTCCACGGCGGCCGTGGCCTCGTCCAGGACCAGCAGTGGAGTCTTGCGCAGCAGGGCGCGCGCCAGGCACACCAACTGGCGCTGTCCCACCGACAGGTTCTCGCCGCCCTCCGCCACCTCGTGGCGCAGCCCCGCCGGGAGCCCTGCAATATGTCACTGTATTACTCCGCCGCGCACTCCGCACTAGGCGGGAGGGACATGTCGTACTACTCACCCTGCACGAACGGCTTCAGGTGCGCGTACTCCAGCGCGCGCCAGATGTCCTCGTCCGAGAAGGTCTCGAAGGGGTCGAGGTTCATGCGCAGCGTGCCGGAGAAGAGCACGGGGTCCTGCGGGATGATGGTGATGCGGGAGCGGAGCTGGTGCAGGCCCATGGCGGCGATGTCCAGGCCGTCGATGAGGATGCGCCCGCCCACGGCCTCCACGATGCGGAAGAGCCCCAGCGTGAGCGTGGACTTGCCGGCGCCGGTGCGGCCCACGATGCCGAGCTTGTCGCGCGGCGCCACGGCGCACGTGACCTCGCGCAGCGCGGGCTCGGCGCCGGCGCGGTACGCCAGCGTCAGCCGCTCCAGCTGCAGCGCGCCCGTCGCCGGCCACTCCGCAGGGGGACCGTTCGCCACGGTCCACGCCGCTTCCTACGTACACATCAATCATAATAATAATATGTTAAACGAAAGTGCCCCTATGTACAAATACGAAGAAATCTCGAATCGAACGACTCCAATGTTTATAACAGTAACTTACGTGAAAAGTTTATATTGCACTTATACGAGATTGGCATGATTTTTTATCTTACTATTGTTTAATTCACTCACTTGTTTAATCTCAGCATATTCCTTCATTCGCTCGACTGCTACGATGTCTGTCTCCAATCCAGACATCATTTGGACCAACCAACTCAATGTCTGCGTAATCTAAAAAAAGATCCCAAATCGTTAATCAGTTACCATGGAATTAGGGAAAAATAAATACAATCTGGTAAAGTACCATACTTAAAGGTTACTTACTTCAAGAGTATAGCTGATAGAGAGACCAGCTAATCCAGGACTAATAGTTTCCCTTGCCATGACAGCAAATAACGCAGCAAAGAATATAATCAAACCGCCGACTGTCTCTAGTCGGATCGCAAGCCATCTGTCCGAAACTTTACTCAAGTAATGTACTGATTGATAGTAGTCTACCTTCTGTTGGGATTCTATGACAAACCTGAGAATTAACATGTATTACATTAGTATGTTATTTAGTTTCGGCAGAATATTTGCGTGTGCTTCTGTATTTACCTGTCTTTGACGCCAAAAGCCCGAATGATTGTCGCACCCAAAATGCTCTCATTGAAGTGGGAGTACGCTGGTGAGCGCGCGACTGATTCGATCCTCATGAGTTGGCGAGTGGTCGGCACGTAAAACCGTTGTATCATGTAGTACATCGCTGCGATGGGCAGTATCACGATCATGAACATGGGTGTGGAATAACTTATCACAAAGACAGTTCCTATGACCTGAAATAAAAGTAAATAAAAAGTCTTTACTTAACATGAAAAAAAATTAACAGAAATTAATCATATATCTAATTAGTCAAAATAGGTACAAGTTCACACAAAGATTAAATTTCTTTTGTGTTCCCCACACACCCTAATAATGGCCGTGACCTCTTCAAGGTTTTCTATTATAGGTTCGACTTGACACGCACAATTGAACTCAGCTCGATACTAAATTATCATGTCAAATGGACAAGGTTATCTTTGCATTGTATTTATTGTAACTTGATTACTAAAGTTAATAAACTTACTTAAAAATAAGTCTAACTGTTAGATACCCTAAAGATACCTGGATGAAATTAATATAATTTTCAGTTTGGTGGTCGAACTAAACTTCCATTTTCCTGTAGATGTAGACAGTAGCTTATGTAGTATTAGAAACGTCTTCATGTGTTTGTTAAATTCATCTTTGTTTTTTTATGGTATTCCATTGCCTCCTATTGGAGGCAAACAAGCAGATGGATCATCAAGGAGTAACATAAGCTATTTTAAAAAAACGCAGACGAAATTGCGGGTACAGCTATTTAACAACAACATGGAGCAAAACCTACCTCAAAAATTCCACTAAGAGTATTCGAGATCTCCCAGGATAGAGAATTGTCAACAGTTTCAACATCTTTGGAGAAGCGTGACAGCAGTCTGCCGACGGGAGTGACTTCGAAGAACTGCAGCGGAGACTTGAGCACGTTGTTCAACATGAGTGCGTGTAATATCTTAGCCGCTCTCCAGCATGCCAGGAATGGCATTAGATCCGTGAACAGGGACGCTAGAGCTGAAAACACCACGTTATTTCGTTATATTTTTGGAAATTAATTGACCGGATTACGTTAAAATTGGCAGTTAATGGTTCTTCGAAAAATTTTTAGCTTTTATTTAACTAATCATTATCCTCCCACGTTGTTAAGCATCGCGAGAACTTATTAACATCTGTATTTTTATTGGATTGGGTGAGAGTAGTGACACGGGTCAATTTTTTGAAACTAAACTTTGTATTTTAATCAGCAGAATTGTTGACTTAAGGGTAATGACTCCGTTCATTTTTTGTGTTTTTTTTTAATTGTAGCATCACCCTGTTCCCAAAAAACATATACAATTTATTTAATTATAACAAACTCGAAAATTGTCCAACAAAGTTTTGAACAATTAGGTATCGAAGCTTTAGCACAGCAACTATTATGAATATTGTACGTATGTATGTAAATATTCAATAACGTAGTAACGTAAAACTATAAATTAAAAATTGCAAATGAATGAATGTCTGAGGCGTTCAATGTTTCGATAGATAAAAGATACATCATTCTCTTTACCTTGACCGAATCCCAGGCCGCCGTACACGCCGAGGTACATGTCTCGTCGTTGTGTATCTACGGTGCCGTTCACAAGCTACAAAATAAAATCAAATTTTGCAAATAATGTAATTAGACTACTTTGAGCGAGTATGATTAGAAAGAAAATGAATTAAGTGATGGAGTATTAAACAATATATGTTACAAAAGCAGTTATTTTTAGAATATTTTATTTTCAGCTGTTTTTATGCATTCTTTCTTTATGCTTAAGAAAGGAAATGGGTTTCTGTTACAGCCTGTATATATCTTGTTTAGAAAGGAATATAAAACTAAATCATAAACCATGTTAATAGTCATACAATACCATTTGTATATAGAGATCTGTTGAGAAATGAATTATTTTGGAACAATACTAAAAATATTACCCTTACATTGCTTACATTTTAACACAACATGATTGTGGAGATAAGAATTTTGCTGGTTACCAATATTTGTAGAGGGTGATTCATCATTTCCACTATTTCGTAACATTACGCGTTGCGTCATTGTTCAACTAAATCCCTATTATATCTAGAAGGCATACTTAAGCATATTTTAACAGAAAACAATGACCGTGGTAAAAAACTGACCATTTTGTCGTCGTTGGACCATATCGCCAGCCAGAAGTTGACACTGATTTGTAGTGTGTGTAGTACAATGTACATAATAACTGTTGCTATGGCTGATTTAATTCCGACCTTTGATAGGTAATGCATGTACACTTCCAATTTCACCTGTGGATATAGAAAGAAAATAGTAATAAAATATATTTTTTTAATTACACAGTGGTTAGGTACATACATTAAGATGTGTTGGTCATTTCAAAAGAAATACAGAAACGATTGCCTGAAAGAGCGAATGAGCGGTAGTGAGTAACGTAAAAGGTACACAAATTTCAATGGAAGGGAGATTTACAATTATCAGAACGCGGAAGTTACGCGACTAGACGTATTCATGTTATACATGGTAGGAGCAGAAGCACTTCCGTTGTCCTAATAGGTATACCTGATAGGTAATGCTATCTATTCTATGAATAAAGGATCTATGGTTGGTTAATAGGGGACGGTGTAAGGTGTCTCTATCAGCAGTTTGTATAATAAGGGTTGTCGATACTCACTTTTCCAGATTCAGTTTTTTCGTCCTCAATGAGTTGATCAAACGCCTTTTCATCTTCCGTGGCGCCTTCCTTGTCTTTAGCTTGAGTATCTTGAGTGTGGTCGCCTAAACAATAGATTATATATTTATGACCTCCAGAAGATATCATATAGATTTTTATAGATTAAAAATAGGTACTAGGAAAGTAAATCTTTCATACCTGCTTCCAAAACTTCGGCTTCTGAAGCGGCCGAACGTAAAGACAAAGATCTTGCCAGTTGTAACTTTCGTTGAAAATCGGACCCAAGTTTGTTCTCTAAATCGTTCTTGATGCCTTCCAAATCTGCGGGAATATTTTAACATTAAGCGGCCGATTATGTCGTTATGCGATTATTCCCTTGTGGCCTTCATGCATGACATGCTTACTACAATTACATCCTTGAATCCACTGCTATGAAAACAGATGTTACGTTAACTATTCATTCAAAATATCGAATGGGAAATAAAATAGACCATGACGACGTGATGACTCACATCGAGTTCTGGTTTCTAATCGGGATGATGATTGTCGCACTAATGACATGGAACTATAAACGGGTGCAAAATTAGGTGAATTGTAAAATAACACAATGTGATAAAGTAATTCGTTTTACAAACAGCGAAACAGTATCTCTCTCAACAATATTTACATAGGAAGCGTGATAGCTAATCGCAAGCTTATATTTAACGTAGGAGTATTCTTACTGTTTGTCAAAGATTATTATTGGCATGTGGTGTGATACCTTGCGTTGCTGAAGACGTTTCTGCGATACTAAGATGATGCAGTAGGAACTCAGCGAAGGCGCCCTTCTTCTCGAGCAGTTGTTGGTAGGAGCCGGCCTCCGAGACCTCTCCGTCGCGCAGCACTACCACGAGGTCCGTCTGCGCCAGGTACGACACGTTATGGGTCACCCACACCCGCGTCTTGTTCTTCAGCAGCCCACTGGGTCCCAGTACCTGCAGTAAACCAGAGCCGTCAGCACTGCGGCACTACGTAGTACACTAGTGACCCGGGTATGCCACACCCACCTTGTCGAAGATGTGCTTGCCGACGTGTGAGTCGACGGCGCTGAGCGGGTCGTCCAAGAAGTAGTTGTCCGCGTCGCAGTACACCGCGCGCGCCAGAGACACGCGCTGCTTCTGTCCGCCAGACAGGTTTATACCTATTATGAAATAAAAACACTTGAAATAAGGAATTGACAAAAATATATTAACATAGCATTTTGCAACAAATATTCATAGAGTTTGAATGTAGCATAGGTATAATGATAATTTATACCTTTCTCTCCGATTTCAGTCTGGTCACCTCCAGCGAGTATTTCTAAGTCTGTCGCTAGGGCACAGGCCTCTATAACATTATTATACTTGGTCTTGTCAAGTGGCTGATCGAATAGAATGTTATTTTGTAGTGTAGCATTTTGAATCCAAGCCTGTTGGGAAACGTATGCAATGTTGCCTGGAGAAAAAAGGGCACTATTAGCGTCTGACAATACTATAATTACTTTAATAAATCATTTTTTGGAGAAATTAGGTTCATACCTTTTATATTTATACGTCCAGAAAGTTTGTCCATGTCTCCTAATAAGGCAGACACCAAAGATGTTTTACCAGAACCAACGCCGCCAACAACAGCTACGAGTGATCCGCGAGGTATTTGTAAGTTAATGTTCTTGAGAACTGCTTTAGATTCATGATCACCCCATGTGAAGTGACCATTTTCTACCACGATTTGGTGTTCTAAAAATTAATAATAATAAGTTATAATGTAGGTATACTCATTTGCTGCTTACAGATAGGCAAGTTGGTTAATATTTCATAACGATTCATAAAAAGTGGTTGCTATGCAGACAAAAAGTAGGTACCAACTTGTACCTATCTTACTTCATATTTTTTATAGCAAGTACCGTGACGGAGCAGTTAATGATGTTTTTTTGTTGTGTCATTTTGCGATGTATTAAATAAGAAGCTAAGCGTAATTTACGCGTACAAGTGTACAATATTACTAAGTTACTTACTCTCATCTGGGTTGTGTTCTATTGCGTTGTCGTCTAATTCTTCAGAATTCAAAAATTTGTTCAGTCTCTTTAAGCTCACTGCAGTCTGTTTAATGAATGTAATCATCATTTTAATTCAAATGTTCAAAGGTATTTAGGTATACTAGTAAATCTTATTTCAATTTAGAAACAGCACCCACCTGTATAATATCGGATATCACATTAGGCAGCATGAACATAGGGAATCTGAGAATATTAAAAAGGGACAACGCGACGAATGCGCGTTTAGAATCCAATACTTCTGTATCGTTTACCAGCACGAAACATGTGAATGACATCAATGATACCTAGACAAAAATCAACTTTAAGCATCATGGAATAAAGATCAATTACAATAATATTCACGAACATTTTACAAAGAAAATAAGTTTCTAATTATCGATGGGTATACTTACGAGGAAAGGTGTACATATCCATATGAATATCATAAATGAAGTAAGGATGGCGATCTTTTTTAGAACAGCCAATTCTTTGTTCCTTATCCTCAAAATTTGGTTTTCAAAACTTTCTTCCCAGGCGTACATTTTGAGTACCTGAAAGGTAGGAAATATCATGAACATGACTTTTAGTCAAAACACGATAATCTAGAGATATATAAATAAAAATGAATTATTTCGTTCGTTAACCTCGCTAAAACTCGAGATCGGCTGAACAGATTTGGCTAATTTTGGTCTTGAAATGTTCATAGAAGTCCAGGTAAGGCGTAAAAGGTGGAAAAAAATTTTAGGCGGTACGAACTGTGCCGGATCAGCTAGTAAGATATACAAACTACGTTAAACAAATACAAGGTCATGGAAATAGTACAATTACCTTAATCCCATTAAGCACTTCGCTCATTAGTTTAATTCTTTGGTCTTTGTAAAGCATCAATTTAGATTGCATTTTCTCTTGGAATCCTGCCAGCACCCCGTTGAAGGGCATTAGTATGATAATGACAGCTAGACCGGCCATCACAGAGGGCCCTAGGACTCCCCATAGGAAGTACAGGGCTAATGCAATTTGCAGTGGTGCAGACCATATCATGTTTATGAAGGTCAAGTTGCAAATCCTGTACAAACAATTATTATGTTTAAAGTACGAGCTAAGAGGAAAACAAAGGACACGCGATACGTAGAAATTGTTTATTTTCGCACATGTTGTGTGCCTTGAATGGATTTCAAAGTAAGTAGCTATTATTAGTTTTCATATTTTAAAATTCTCATAGTGTCTGTTATTATTGGTATTCTTCTTGGTATTTGATAATATTCTAGTCCCTTGTTAAAATGGATCTAACATAACTGGCAAAATTTATTATAACTAAATGTATGCCTCCCTACTATTGTCTTTTTTCTGGGAATAACCAACGACATTCTATTTTATATCATATTTAAAAAATAAATATTTACTTACTTATCGACGTCAGTAGACATCAAGTTAATAATTTCTCCTGTAGTGGACTCTTTTCGAGCGGCGTTCGATAAAGAAAGAGCTTTCTTATACACAACGCTGCAGAGTGCATTTTTGATTTGTATACTTATTACGGATAAGTTTATGAAATACTGTCCAAGGAACAGACTTTGTACGATACAACATAAGAACATGCTGACTGCGTAGACATAGCCTTTCCATACAGGATCGTCGCCTTGGATGAATCCAATAATATGTCTGTAATCACAAAGTTTGATGTTGAAACTGATTCTCTAATCTTAAATCTATGATTATTTTTGCTAATTGCATTGTCATTTTTTAGGTTAATTGGGTAATTTGTGTGCTTACAAGATATATTGCCTGGTATTTAAAAAGAAAACTAAGTACTAAGCTATTGTTTTTTTTGATACAGTGTTGCGATAGTAGAGAGTGGGAACTCTTTTAATTTCTAGTGGATTTTCAATCCAAATAACTATTCACGTCAGTTTTAATCACATGCTAATAATTACTCGGGTTACTTACTCAAGTAATTGGGGCGAAACAAAGATGAGTAAATCGTGGATAATTTTCAGAAATACGGCGAACAAAAACTGGTATCCAAAAGTTAAGCACAACACTGGTAGTATCGATATCGGTTTGGTTGATTGCTTCTGATTTATGGGAGCAGTAGCGTCAGTAGTCGAGGCATTTGTGTCAGCAGACCTGAGGGAAAACATAATTTTGTACCACTATTTATTGAAGGAAGTTTAGTATTTATCTATTTAATTAAGTTTAAGTGTGGCAGAGCCATGCTTCGGCACGAATGGGCCGTCTCGACCCGAGTGATACTACAGCCTCACAGAAAACCGACGTGAAGCAACGTTTGCGTTGTGTTTCGTCGTGTGAGTGAGGTTACCGGAGCCTTAGTAGGAGTTAGTACGTATAGGACAAACAATAGCCGAGTTTCTGCAGTATTAGACAAAATAAACAACATAACATCAAGCCTTTTATCCTCGAAGGGGTGGGCAGAAGTGCATATTACGGCACCTAATGCCAACGTACAATGTAACACACCCCTTTTTTACCATTTCTGTTATGAGTCTCATTTAATAGGGGGTGAGCCGATTGCCATATATCGGGCACATTTCCAAACTACTACTGAGATTTTTTTTAAAAACCCAGTAATTTGTTGCCCAACCCGGGAATCGAACATGAGCCCCCTTCTCCGGCAGTCGCACTTGCGACCACTCGGCCAATAAGAGCAGTTCAAAGTGACGTCACACAAAGAGAATTAATTAACACGTTAAACGCCATGGGGGTCACCGGTGACCGGCGTTAGCGGAGGATTTACCTTTAACAGTTTTTTATTGGCAGTCAAAGTCTTAATAAGTATTATGAATTAATTGTTCCGTGACTAGTATCGTGAACCCTTATTTATTAGGTACCTACAATAGTAATTAAAACAAATTACTTCAATGACCCGCAGACTGCAGTCGTCTTGTGAGCGTTCATTGGGAAAATTAATATTGATTGTAATTACACTCCGGTTAATTTGAGACTATGAAGTGCTTATTTGTGTAATACATTGTTAGTTAAACTATAATTACATAAATAAGAATAACATAGTATCGTTATAACAACGTCACGACTTTTAATCCCCCAAAACTGAAATGGTACTCTATTTAAGTTTTAGTAATAGTTAGATACATATATCAGTCATCCCGGTGCATCAACCGGGATGACTATATTGGTTTAATTTTTATGTAGTCTGGGCTACAGACAGAGAAGGGATAATAGGTGTCCCTTCGTCCAGCATACTCACCATGGAATCCTGATATTTCATGAATGTCAAAAAACTGTTCTGAAATAGTGCTAAATAGTGCCCAAAGGAAAAAAATAGTGCTCTTGTACTTGCGAAGTTATAGCCATAGTTCGATGAGTATGCTGGACGAAGGTTTCGCCCAGCATACTCACCTCCGTCCGGAGAATCTGTATACGCTTCAAACATAATTCATACTTCAAAAAATAGTTCCCAAATAGTGCCAAACGGTGCCCAAAAAGAAAAAACAGTGCTCGAATAACTTCGGAGTTATAGGCTTCGTTCAGTGAGTATGCTGGGCGTAGGTTCTACGCCCAGCATACTCACCTCAGTGCGCGAATATCGAACGAGCTATAGGTACAATTTACGTCTCAAAAAATTGTGCTTGAAATAGTGCCCAATATCAGTCCAATTTTTGCTTGACTTTTGACTTAGAAAACCATTAAATTTTAATGTAAACTTCTACATACTAACGTAAAATGGGGTACAGTCGTCGACACATGTTTTTGGACAAAAATATTAAACTTTCTAATTGTAGACTTCATGTTATTGGAAATAATTATGGTATTTTCTCACATGTCAAAAACTTTCGATTAAATGCATTATTATATATTTTATAAATAATAATAAATGAATGAAACTTTAAGCGTAAATGAAGTCTATTACTTCATTGCATTGTGTGTTTGTCTGAATAAAAACAGTCATTTGCAGCCAATAAATAAAAGCGTCGCGGGCGCCGCGCGTCGCTTTGTGACACAAAATGGACCCTTATCACCTTCAAAATACAGATCAGTCTTGTCTAATAATCGTAAGATGTTAGGGCAGCGCCATCTAGTATTTAAACATAAACATATTCATTTGCGTCGCGGGCGCCGCGCGTCGTAAGCCCCATACCTATTGACCGTACGTGCATCCATTACTGCCACACTATATTGAACTTTATCACATGAGGAATACAGGTCAATTCCGTAAACGTTGTGGTACCGTCCTTGATCCGGAAAATGATTATTTTGAATAATTTTGTCAGTTGTAATGTAAGCATTAATAACAGCAACTTTATTTTTCATGCATGATTTACTTCATTTGATATCTTAATCCTTCAAGCGCCGTGATCTAGACAAAATATATAAAATCATTGTTCCTAGCTACCGGGGTCCCATGCGACGCGCGAAGGCTTAATCATATTATTATAAAGTATTATTAAAATAATGTGTAATTAATAATATTGCGATTCTAAAGTAAATACTCCCTTACATAGACAATTAATAATTTACACAAGACAAAAATTGTTAGAAAGAAAGTTAATAATATTGTATTCGACTGTACTCAATGTAATGTATGTAGAAGTTTACAATCAAATTTAATGGTTTTCTAGGTCAAAAGTCAAGCAAAAATTGGACTGATATTGGGCACTATTTCAAGCACAATTTTTTGAGACGTAAATTGTACCTATAGCTCGTTCGATATTCGCGCACTGAGGTGAGTATGCTGGGCGTAGAACCTACGCCCAGCATACTCACTGAACGAAGCCTATAACTCCGAAGTTATTCGAGCACTGTTTTTTCTTTTTGGGCACCGTTTGGCACTATTTGGGAACTATTTTTTGAAGTATGAATTATGTTTGAAGCGTATACAGATTCTCCGGACGGAGGTGAGTATGCTGGGCGAAACCTTCGTCCAGCATACTCATCGAACTATGGCTATAACTTCGCAAGTACAAGAGCACTATTTTTTTCCTTTGGGCACTATTTAGCACTATTTCAGAACAGTTTTTTGACATTCATGAAATATCAGGATTCCATGGTGAGTATGCTGGACGAAGGGACACGATAATAGACATTCTATTTAGTGAAATTAATTCTATACACAGATATATGACTGTGATTCTACAGCAGACAGATTGTGTCTTCTGCGAAAAGCCAGTAAACGAGCTAACGGATCACTTAATGGTAAATAATCGATGTTGCCCATGGACACCCGAAACATCAGAGCCGTTACAAGTGCATTACGGTCCTTTTGGGAAGTAGGAATTTGAGGATTGTTGTGGATTTATGGATTGGGGAGACTGGGGAAGCTCTCCTTCCCCAGTCTGAGTAAGGTTACCAGCGCAAGCTGTTTTCTGTGAGGCTGTGGTACCTATCACTCCAGTCGAGCCTGCCAGTCATGCCCAAGCGTGGCTCTTTCCCACAATTAATGTTAGGCTTTATCAATTAAAATAATAACATGATACTAATTACTATGTTTCAGTACACTAGATGCAAGCATGACGTTGACGTTTTATGGCAATAGGTATATAAATGTAATCTAGTAATTAGGTACATGACAAAGTAATTATAAAAATTAGGTAGGTAAATATTTCCGTAACCAATGACGAATATCGGAATATCCGTTGGATTTTTTTTTATCAAGGCTCGTATCTAATTAATATTTTACCTATGAGGTAGGTAGTTAATTAGGTACTGCTTTTGTGGGTGACATTGTCTGTAATAATGACTAAGGAATACTGACTTTCGGAAAAAATTGGGAAGATGTAATAAAAATATCCAGCTTACGTAAGTATTTTTTTTTAAAACAGAGAAAAGTAAAAATAAATAATGTGTACAACAGGCAGTCTTGCCGCAGAATGCGATTTCTTACAGACAACTCTTTTAAATAAAGGATGAATAAAATAAATGTAGCTTACACTATGTAGGTACACCTAAATTTAGACATATAGACATACATTAATTTTAGGCACAATATGTTGTATTACCTATCAATATTTTGTTCTCTGCAGGCAAAAAACTTAAAAACGAAAGCGAGGTCAGAAAGACCCAAGCAGTTTTACTTTCACTTTGATTGTAAAAACAAGTAAAACCTAGTTGTATCAAATTATTCAACAATAATATTTGCAGATCGTACCTACTCAAATTATCCTATCTATAAAACTAACATGTTCATAATTTTGCACACATTTTATTCAATTTAAGGGTGGCAATTCGGCAAAATGCCACGCGTCCCCAACTGGTAAAAGTCTCGTTCAAAGGTTCTCATCGGAAGTTCTTTCTTTTTTATATTGGGAAGAGAGGACCGTTAGATGAATTTGCCATGGCCCATGGGCCTGGAACGGTGTAGTTACCCCATTGATTTTGCTGGCTGGCAGCAGCCTCTGGCGTTAGGTACAGTCAAAGCCGGTAAATTCATTTTATTTTTCTAAATTCTAGTTTCCAATATTTAAGTAGTAGTAGAACTAGTAGACCAACAGCTGCTTTTCGGAAATAAATAAGTTTGTATTAATTTAATATAATTATGTGAACAAAAAACATTTGCATAATCTCAAGTACAAAGTAAATATAACAATATATAACATGACATTGCGCAATAATTACTAAATTGAAGTCGGTATTTGTTCATGCTAATAATAATTGCTATCTCTTCAAATATTTGGTATCTCTAGGGTTTAGTCATACACAACATGACTTTAGCAATTACTATGAATGCAGATAACAGCTCAGCAATAATCAGATATTTGTCATTAGTTTGTCAGTGTTATCAAAGAGATTTCTCCTTGTTGGTGGTAGGTATACCAAACAACTGAATTATCAAACTTAATTGATTTAACCTCGTGCTTTACTGAATATAGCATAATAGATAAAATGTCCCTTCCTGTATCTGTGAATTATAATTATCTGTTAAGCTTACAGCATAAAACGTGTAAAGAATAGTATTTACGTACATATTACAAATACAATACTAATATTACTCCATAGCATACCTATGTACTTAAAATATTTGAGAAATTTGCTAAGTTTGTATCTAATATATGCCTATTATTACTTTATCTGGAAAGGTGCAGTAAACCCACGCACTCAGACGTGTGTGACATCTTTTGGTGTCTGTGATTTCCGTCTAATTAGGTACGTAATACGACACTAGTAATTCCCAAAAAAAGCCTTTACTATTTGTTTACTCATAAAAAATAATCTCAGGTAGTTATAGCAGGTATTTCCGAGGATAGCATAACATGTTTCAATGAATTTCACAATATTAGGTATGTTTGTGTCCCGAGTTATGATAAAAACTATAATAAAAATAGATAAACAGGTAGTAACACTCAACTCAAATCTCTTCCTTTTTTATATCGGTTAAAAATAAAAATCATATCAGTTCGTTATTAGGCACTTGTTAGCCATTACTTTTCATTGAGTAACTCTATACTACACCTAAATACTTTGTATTCAGTATGAAATGAATATCCAGTCCCCAATTTCCAGAGCACCTATGAAAGATTATTTTTGAATAACTTACTTTGCCTGTTTTTGCGTAGCTCTCTGCCAGTATTTCTCAAACCTAGGGACGACTTCTTTAGAAGTCATTTCCGGGTTTAACGGCCATAAGTCTTCTTCTTTGAGAGTTCTTCGGAAGCCCGTTAAGACTAGTGGATCGAACCAGCTAAATGTGAGTTCACTAGGCACATTCGATCTTTTCTCGGGAGATTGGGCCTGTAAGGTATATTTAGTTTTAGAAAAATTGGTACCTACTAATAAGGCGTAACGTATATGCTTCGATAAACAATGGAAAATTGTCGAGCAATTTACAAAATCATTACGATACAAGCGATTCAGGTGTATTTACGACGACAAAATTCACTTGTTTAAGAGAGGTCTGTAGAAAAATAGGAGTGTTACCTTGTCGTATGTATAAGGAGTATCTTTGGGCGGTAAATCAGCGAAACAGCTCAATATGAACATAATTATTACAAGCGTATAGTACACGATATAGCTAGCAAATGTATATCGTGCATACCCGCTGTTGTTTGGGTCGTAGTTCACTATTTCAGTCCTCAGTTGTGGTAAACCAGCCAGGATCAGAAGTAACCAGAATATAAACAGCACTCCTGACGTCATTACGCCATATTTTCGATTGTAGCATATTATCGTTATACACAACATCTGCAAATGAGACCAGCGTTAAACAAACATTGTAGGTACGATAAATTGGCCAAGATAATTTGCAAAGCATTTCAATTAGGTAGTGAATAAAATAGACGATTGCACAGTATGCTGTCCGTATGTCTACTTAATACGTACCTAGGAAATAAAATTAAACTCATTGAATTCCGAAGTTCAGATTTTTGCGTCTCTTTTTGATTAGAGGAAAGAAATTCATTTAATCGTGTGTCTAGGTAGGTCTGGTAGGTGTAGGTACCCGTGTAAATTAGAAATGATTAGGTACTAATGAATATTTGTCGCTAACTGTACTTAGAAACAAATATTTCTAATTTTCTAATAGGTACACATGTTGCATTGTGAAGGGCAAATGTCAGTCGATTTGTGTATGAAATACTCAGATTCAATCAAGTCTGGCTAAGATAAACCGGTTGGAAGAAGGCCAAGAAATATATATATAGATAAGTAGTAGATACTTTTACGAAAGATTTTATATTTTGCGCTCTATATTTTTAATATTGGGGATGTTTTTTCATATGTAATTCATCATACTGTACATATTATGGTTATTCAATGCCTAAGTTCGTAAATTCAAAATGAGTTAAACAGCAGACACGTGTCTACCTAAATAGACCTAGTAACCCGAATAGTCTATTTCCGTTAAATTTCAGCTGTACTATATCAATGTCTACGACCCGGCATCGCGTCGCTGTCTCATTATTATTATTATTATCTACTGATTGCTAAGAAATATGTATGTAACACTTAGATATGTATCTATTCTACACCTACTATGACGTAAATAACAAAATCAATACGTCTAAGGTTGGTGGGTTTTCCGAGACAACAAGTGAGCTACACTTTCGTAGTGGCCGAAAATAGATACCTACTTACCTAAGTAAAGTTCTTTTAGTCAGAATACAAAATGCATTATCACTAGCAATTTTTATTAATTCTTTGTATAGAGCTTCTTCAGAATCTTTAGTAGAATTAAATAGAACAAAGATTCTTGAGCTCAATGGATCCCAAGGACTGTTTAAGAATAATAGAGACAAAAACATTTTTATACCATTTTTATGGCTTCATTTACCGAGTTAGGTACCTACTTAATATTTTTTTATTTCTCTGTTATATAATCTTTAGCAAATACGATTCAATAAAAATGTATGACTCGTGTTTAGATAAGCGGTGTTTTCTCAAGGATGCGCCTACCGAAGTAGGTAGTATAGAATGAATCTGATTACCACACTCTGATAATATCCATAAATACGATAGTTGCTATCAATAGGTGTCACATATTTTTAGGATTTTCTTACATACAAGCAATGACTTTTCCTTTTTCTTTAAAATTATAGAATAAAACGGTTATTATAACATTAAACTATAGCACTTAGGTAAATAAGCTGAAGAATGACAAAGAGTAGGTACCAAAGTTTTACAAAACAAATGCACACTCATAGAACTAAAACTAACCACTGATGGTACCTACTAATTATAAGATGCCTACTAAACAGATAAATATAAACCCTGGGTACCTAGGTATCCATTAACAATTTTCCTGTTCTAAGCCATTCAACTTGACGTTTTTCTTATGAACTTAGTAGGTCTTGCAAAGTGTTTGATGAATCTTTATTTATTTAGAAAAACATTACAAAATGTATTTTCTTTATCAGTGCACACTCTGAGCAGTAATTATAGCAACTGTAGGAACATTTATTTATTTATTTAGTATGATAATAAGACAAGTAATGTAGTTTTCTTGTAAGAAACTTACATACGAGTATCTAAATTATAAATACTTGTGTCAAGTATTGTACAGTCAACTACAAAAATGAATGATTATTATCTTTAGTATAATTATTTAGATTTTGGAAAAAGGTCTTCCCTTGATAAAATGTACCTTATCAATTTTCTCTTGTAAATTTTTAATAACATCTTTAGTAAAACATAGCATACCTAATCTAAAGCCTAGGCCACTGTTTAATATCACTTATCATTTATTTTAGAGTACTCAGAAATACCACTTAGACATAATATTGACACAAGGCTTATTTAAATTAAAACAAAGTGTAATAAAATTAATACAGACGAGAATCCCTTACATTTTGTTCAAACTTTGATAAAATAGCTTAATTTAATGAGTTTATTAGAGAGCACCATATTCTTAAAAATTATAATAATAAAAAAATGTACTCACCAAAGTCAACAATTTAAGAACTGGGTCATAAAAATCTGCATCATATATTTTATTTTCTTCTTTTGAAGACGCATATGTTACTAGGATTAGATTCAGAATTTGTAATACAACTAGGGATAATGCTATAACCAGCTTGCTTATATTCAACTTATTCCATGGTATATTGCCTTCTCTGCTGCTAACTATATGGTAGATGTCGACCAGGGCTGCCAACCACATGTAAGCACATGGTACCCATACTAAAACTGTCTTTTGGAAACACGGAGTAAAATCCGGATTGTCTGTGTACCATGTCAGGTTGCTGTCCTAAAATATATTCATTTTATTAATACATTATTATGTTATTATTCTTACAACAATAATCTATGGCAATACATATTGCACAATACTGTGTACAAATGAAAAATATAAGTAAATAGCCACTTTTATCACACAAATATGAATTAAAGTGATTTTAAAATAAGTTTAACTTGAGACTGTTATGGATAACGAACTCTCGCAGTCACACTGTACGATTACTAACAATTATTGTGCAATATTGCAATCATTGCATTAACTATTTTTAATTCAACATTAATTTCAGTTACCACGTCGAGACTCAGTTTGTACGATTCATTTAATACAATATTATCATGTATTAGATAAATCATCCATGACACAACAAACCCAGGTAAAAACTTGGGAGTAAAAAGTTATGACTAAAATAATTTTAACATTTGGATGTCGATATTTTAATAAGTTTACAAACCCAGAAAGTAGAGCCGCAAAAACTATCCAGTGAAGAGTTGTAGGTCATTATTAAATATTTCCCAACTTAAAAAACTTATTTCAAAATTACCGCACTGACAAGCATCCAGTGTAAAAGTTATTTTTCAAATGACAACAAAAGTGACAAATTTTCTTTTATAAAGTTCGACCACAGACTTCATAGATAAGGGATTGAACTATTTCTTAGGCAAAGATTTCTCGTACAAAGAGTTATAATAAGTAGGGGATTTCTCATAGTTCTCATTCATGGGTGTGAGTCTCGACATAATTATGTTAAAATAACTAAATTTTGTCATTAATAATTTTTAATGTAATTAATAGTGATTGTATAAGAAGTTTTCTTTTCCACACTGTGAATGTGGAATTTGATTAACGTAGAGAGAGAGAAGAGTGTGGAAAACGACCTGAATTTTTTTTAGCTGACAACATCATTTATTTCAATAAAAGCCTAAAAATTAATACTAACTTTTACTAAATTAAATATATACAACTTAAGATTAAAATTTATTAAAATAAAACTAAAAATAACTATTTACATAAAGCATCGAAAAATTCGTCCGCAATGACGCCAGTGGAGAAAGTACCGAGAAGGCTGGCAGCATTGCACGTAATCTGTCGTGAAATGATTGTGGGGCATAGAGTTATAGAGTAATGTCCTGGACGATGGCTTTGTTCATTCGTTGGTTAGTTGATAGTTCATTCCTTTATAAACGTCACTTATTTTTTCACTCCAAACAGTGAACACGTATTTTCTTGTGGTGTGGTGTATTTTAAATAATATTGGTTTGAATGTCTACTTATGGTGTTTTCATTAAATTGTAGTGACTTTTAAGTTAGTATCACACGTAAAGTGAGTTGGATAGTTTTCAATAAAGAGCGAGCGGTCGTGTCGAGCGGTGTTTTACAATGGCTGAGTATTTAGCTGCTATATTTGGAACAGAAAAGGATAAGTAAGTATAAATTTATTAAACATCTATTGCCTTTTCTAATCTCTCTTATGATGTTATGTTTTATTAGTTTGCCATAAGAGTACGATATGTTATTGAAAACCGAATCCATTATAACCTCTAATTTGTGCCATTGGTAATTTGTTATAATTATTGTGGTACTTTATTTCTTTTTAACCGTTATTCCTTATGTTTTACATATAATCGTATCACGATGATGTATTAATATGTTCTTTCTGTTCATTACAAACATAAATGCTAATTACCTATCTGTTATGTTTCAGAGTAAATTGTTCCTTCTATTTCAAAATTGGAGCATGCAGACATGGTGACCGGTGCTCTCGTATTCACAACAAACCAACGTTCTCACAGACTGTGCTGTTGCAGAATCTCTATGTAAACCCTCAGAATTCAGCCAAGTCAGCTGATGGCAGTCATTGTAAGTACAATCTATTTACATGGAATATTGTTTAAATTCCTTTTACTAGGTTGTGTAGTTATTGCCCAATAAATACCACGCCACTGTAAATACCACCTTAAAGTACATATCGAGGGGTAACGGACTATTTGGTTTGAGCGACATTTTGGGCGATATTGAGTTATTATATATATTCGACGGAGAAAAACTTGCTGATTCCGAATATATATATAACTCAATATCGCCCAAAATGTCGCTTAAACCAAATAGTCCGTTACCCCTCGATATGCTTTCAATTGTCCATTATAACGTAGTGATCCTAATTACACATATGTAAATACTAATGCTGTATCATTATATTGCAGTTATTGTCAAATAAATACCATGCCACTCCAAAGTTCACCTTAAAATCAACATGCTTTTTTAAGTATTTAGTTAAATTAAGTGATTAAGTAAATAGTATACTTAAAATAACATTTATCTACAAATTAATAGTATGGCAAGCATTTACATGCCCGTTGTCTAAATTTTAGTAAGTACAACTTTGTTTACCGAAGTTTCCTGTACAATAAGCTATACCACCATATTCCCCTTAACATCTCATTCATGGTGTATTAATATTTCATTACTTTCCTTTCAGTGGTCGTCGCCAATGTATCTGATGAAGAGATGCAGGAGCATTATGACAACTTTTTTGAAGATGTCTTCGTTGAATGTGAAGACAAATATGGGGAAATTGAAGAAATGAATGTGTGCGATAACTTAGGTGATCACTTAGTCGGAAATGTGTATATTAAGGTGAGTGGCAATGACATGTTTTCGAGCTTAAGGTGAGTGGCAATGATATGTTTACGAGCTTAAGCTGGCTGCATATTGTGGATACAAGTTACCCCATAAGTTATTCAAGACTATAGTCCATTTCTGTAACTTCATCCAAATTGCAAAAGTACTTTTTTTGTAAACAAGTAATGAACAAACATCCTCACAAACTTTCGCATTTGTAATATATAGTTTAGATGGATTTCGAACTCTACAAAGCTCCAAAACCCTTATTGTTTAATAATGTAACTAATTAAATGTGGGTTTTTACCCTACCTCGGAAAGCGAAAGAGATAATTGAGCTACAAAACCACAAGGTTGATCCATAAGTTTATGCATACTTGCTGCATCAATGCTAGCAAATTTTTCTTCTTTAATGATTTGCTTAGTGATCATATTTTTGCCAGTTAAAAAGAAATTACCACAATCTACTATTTAGCCCCTAGAATAATAAAGCCAGTAATGCAGTGTGTATTGACACCATTGCTTATGTATGGTAGTGAATCATGAAAGCAGGATTAATGCTGTGGAAATGACAACCCTGATAAGTATGTGTGGACTAAAATTTAGAGTAAAGATTGAAAGATGATGTAGTGATAAGAATCGAAAAGGGAATGAATGCTGGTTTGGACATGTAGAAAGGATGGATGAAAGTAGAGTAACGAAAGAAGTATATTTAGAGCGGATATGAATGGGGCCGTCGGTAGAGGGCGCCCTAGACGTACATATAGTGTCCAGATTGGCGATATATTAAAGAAGGACCAAATTAAAAGTACCCTTAACCAATGAGCATGCATGAAAAGATTGATGACTGTTGATGAAGCGAAAGAGGTATGTAGGAATCATAGTAATTGGTGTTCCATAGTCTCTGCCTACCCCTATGAGAGACAGGCGTCAAGTTAAAAGTATGTATTATGTTGGTTTTCATGTCTTGGTATTTTATAACTGACATGTGTTGCCATTTATCCACAGTTCCGCCGTGAAGAAGATGCTGAGAAGGCTGTGAATGACCTGAACAACCGTTGGTTTGGTGGTCGGCCGGTGTATGCGGAACTGTCCCCTGTGACGGACTTCCGTGAGGCGTGCTGTCGCCAGTATGAAATGGGAGAGTGCACTCGCAGTGGATTCTGCAACTTCATGCACTTGAAGCCTATTTCTAGAGAACTAAGAAGGTGAGGTTTATATTTCTATTGATTTTTTTTACTATGCATAATTTTTACTGAAAGTTGTAGTTTTACAAATAACTAATTGTAATCGAGATTTCACTATTGTTTATTTTCTTCTTTGATTATCTTCTTATAATTATTCTTCAATGAGATAATTAATCTTCAATGAGAGACTTTCTACGAAATAAGCATCGATCGTCGACATTCTAGTACCCAAGTAGTAATACACAGAAAAACCAAAGGTATATGAACTACATTAAGAAAGTTGTGTTATTTTTCAGATACTTGTACTCCCGTCGCAAGGGATCGCGTCGTTCCCGAAGCAGGTCCCGCGACCGTCGCCGCCGCTCACGCTCTCGCGGAGAGAACCGTCGCCGCGATCCGCCACGCAACTCCCGTTCTGGTCGCTACTGACCAACAAAACAACAGAACCCTGTGGTCTAAGGCCTAGTGTCCACGTAACCTGCATTTTATGCTTTCGTCAGTTAACGATTATTAGGCGAATGCTTGCATTTTGCGTAGAAAACAACAAAATTGTGTCTATGGAGCAGCAATGTCGAGTCAGTCACATGCCGTTCGTCATTTGTAGTTTGGAAGCATTCGTCAAATGATACGTCACGGACATTAGGCCTAACTCGCACTTCGTTCTGACCGCGAGTTGCGAACAATGTGAGATCACAGTTTCAAGCTGTATTATACACTGGACTGAAATACTGAAATGTATTCCAAATGTGAATGTAGAATTTAACAATCAAACTAGGCTATTCTGAAATTGTGTGACATTAATTGAGATACAATTCATACATAGTCTGTATTGATCTATACAATCTACAAAAAATATCTTTACAAATAATGTCTTCAGTTTTAATCTGGTTTTAATAACTCTCAATGAATTCAGATTACCCTTTAATTTCAACTTGTTGTGTATAATTATTTTTAATTGCAAGATACAAGTTATGCATGCATTTTGTGTAGTTTTGATAACATAAGTACAATACTTATTTTAGCTTCAAAATTTAATCAACCTGATTAATATAATAAATTGTTACTATAGTCAGAATTTTAAACTGTCAAACACCAAGCGGTCACCGGTGACCGCAACCTTTTGTTCTATAATTGTGTCTACAAAACCGGTACTCGACGAGTTAATTAGATTCCAGATTTGACAATAGCTACTGTCATTTTGTGAAATAATGATACCACATATAATAGTGTAGTGATGCACACAAAAATCGATAAACAATCAGTGTGTGTGTTTTCTAACAAATGTTACAGAAAGTGACAGGATAGCGATAGCGATGACGGCGACAATTTATAAAATAACTTGTTACCGTAATACATCTATCTGTTTTATTTGTCATGTTCCTTCATGATTACATTTTTTTATTTATTTCACACACAATTATAAAAGAATAGTCTCAGATCGTTAATTATTCGTCAAAACTAAATTATCGGCTCAGAAATATTTAATTTCCTGATATACTTAGTTTACGAGAGTAAAATTATAAACGAGAAGAATCGATCCAGAAATATTGCATTACCATATCGAATAATTTCGCAACGTCACTATTTAGTACTTGTCATAACGTTGCAACACTGAAATTGTCAAATCTGGAATCGAATTAAAATTCCGGGCATAGTATTGCACTCCTTAAATATTGTGAACTATTTTTGTTGTAACATTGACTATAAGTGTTTATCTCAAATGAGTTTTTAGACTTTTTAGTTTAAACTCATATCATTTACCAATAGCTGTGTCCTTTTAAGGACTTTATTGGGCAGTATAGTGCCTAAGGTGGACAGAATATTTGTGTAAGAGAATGTGAATGATGCAAAAATTAATATAAGTTTAATCTACAATACTGCTCTTTATTTCCCTAAATCCATATTGTACATAACAGATCTCAACAGCTAGTTAAAAACATTAAAGCATTCGTTTTATTATTATCACCGAAAACCGACATTCTGGAACATACATTATTGTTTATTTACATTTAATTGTGTTTCCTCGTAAATTTCTTCCCAGAAAGTAATATTATCTTTGCGAGGATCTTTTTTACATTGCAATGTTTTTCCAATAATGTAATAATTTCTTTCGTGTTCCTCGAATGGTTTCCATTCCTCGATGCTATCCGCCGTAGGGTTCCTGGAAATAATAAAAATAATGAATATAATTTATGTGAGGTTTACTCAGTTTGTTTATTGTATTTATAAGTAGTGAGTAAACAAACAACCGATTTCATGACTGAAGAGAAAGTAATTTTCTTTCAACAAACATCTCGAGAACTTTGTACGCGTAGCGTAGCAGAACAGGACTCGTGCTAACGTTTTGCAGTTTATGTTTGGTTGTTAACAAAGCGCGGTCGCTTTGGTTAGCGTTGCAAATTATTTAGCAACTTTGTTACTGACTGACTGTACTGCGACAATGTTTGTACAATTTATGTCTACAGAGATATGGCGGTCTTAAACTTAAGTGGTGCATCTACTATGTTTTTGGAAAGTACTTTAATTCAGCTTACCCAGTATTAGCGAAGTCCGTCCAAAGTTTTACAAATTGTTTTATAATGTCTATTGATTCATCCGATAATGGTATATCTAAGCAGGTCACGTTAAATAGATACGCTAATTCATCAGAATGACAAACACCTTTCAAAGAATCCATGTTGTATGACTTTTTTGTGAAGTTTCTTTCAGTTTCAGCATCAAACTCGTATAAATAAACTGGTTCTGAAGCGTGCTGCAGATGGTAGCGCGCATACCTAACGATATTGTATAAAAACACTCTATCTGTTTCTAAATCTGAGTATCTTTGTATTTCTTCCATCGATATCGGTTTATCGTCAAAATAGTGTTTTCTTATTCTTTCGTCTGCCTTTTTCACTTTTTCTGGTTCCCATTTTAATTTTAATTCTCTTGGAACAACAGCACCTGGAGTTGTTAGGAACCCAGCGATGTGAGGAAGTTTTCTTGCAATTTCTATTCCGTCACCAGAAGTAAATCCTAATATAAGAGGAACTTTAGCCATATGCCCGTTTTTCACCAATTCTATTGGCAAATCTGATAAAAATTTGTTTTTGCCTGAACCAACTTTTTCAATTACGGGTCCAAACAGAATGCTATCTAATAAATCATTATATTTTAATTCTAACAATGGTAGCTGTATATTAATCAGAGACTTGGCTGGTACGCTTCTTAAGAACTCTAAAAGTTCTTTTGGATCGTCAGTGTCTTTTCCTAAAAGTTTGCCTAGTTGGAAAGCCCTTTGACGAGCATATAGATTATAGCTCCACTCATTAAGGCAGACACCACTCTGGCATATAGCTTTGCTAAATAATCCTTCACTCATTTTGGACACTAAATGACAGGACACAGAAGCGGACCCTGCACTACATCCGAAGATGGTCACATTGTTGGGATCTCCCCCGAAAGCTGCGATATTTTGTCTTACCCACTTTAAAGCTAAGACCTGGTCTTTCATGCCAGCGTTTCCTGGAACTTCTTCAGTGTCTAAACAGAGGAAACCTAAGACTTCTAATCTATAGTTAATTGTTACTAGTATGACGTCATGTTCCATGAAGAACTCAGGTCCGTAGAAATCTGAGTCTCCTGAGCCAGTGTAAAACCCGCCGCCGTGGATCCAGACCATAACAGGAAGAGGACTGGATGGTGTAAGTGTTTTGGTGTACACATTTAAGTAGAGACAGTCTTCACTGCCTGCTTCTACACGATTCATACGCTCGTTGTACTGCGGGCAGACGGGGCCATGTTGTGACGCGTCCCGGACACCCTCCCAGGGTTCAGGAGGCTCCGGAGCCTGTAAGAATGTAATTGGTTTGTATAAAAACAATTTTTTTTAATGTTCCGTCAAACATTTTTTTTTTTAAGGGGGGAAAATCATCGATTGACTACTCCCGCCTGGGTGAGGCGGGAGGGAGTGTCAGACTCTTACTGACAAAAAACCACCCCGTTCCTTCTCCTGCACGTCGAGCCGGAGCCCCGGTTACCCGTTAGGTTCCGTGAAGCACACAAGCATACTGTCGAAAAGGACCCTTGAACCTAAAAGTATAAGTAGTTAGATATGCTTTATATTCGTGGTATATATCTACTGTACTTTACGTCGGTACAATCTATTTAAGATAATAAGCAACTGCTTGATATGGTAATATGATTTGCTATTTAATGTACTCTTCGTCGAAATAAAAATTTCATTATAAACCTACGTCTAGTACGCGAATACCATCATAAAAATGTCCATAGTCTCCAAGTGAATACTAATGTTGCATGCTTAGGAATGCTTTCGTTTGAAGTGAGAAAAAAACGCTACAAACCGTACACAGGTAAGTATGTTGGTACTTACTCACCTTGAATCTTAATTCACCAAGTGGCGGCTTAGCATACGGTATGCCTTTGAACGCCACATAACTGACGGTATCGTGGCATACGACTCCCTTCAACTCGCCTTGCACAGTTTTCACACGCGGCATTGGTAGATCGCGACTCACTCTGTAAATTTGAAATAAACTACAATTTATAGTCAACAAAGTAATACGGGAAAATTAATTATAATTATATTGTAATTCTACGAATGAAAATCGTTATGACATAATCGATAAATAAGTCTTACACTTATTTATCGTGTGAAACTGTCTGTTGGTTTGGTGCCAAAACAGGCATGTAATATAAAGTAGGTATCATTATTATATAAAATCGTGTCTACTTCCTATAACTGTACGAGATGCATAGAAACAAGATACATTAAATAAGTATTGTAATTTTTGTCATAGATGGCAATGCGCAAACGAGTTGTATTTATTTATATTTAGAATTAGAATCTAGATAGGTACAGTCTCATACGTAGGTAGGTACGTTATTCTCATACATATGTGCGATCGTGCAATGCAACTCACATTACAAACATCCATTTACTTCAACCGCTTAATAATTTCGTAATATTTTTCAACTATTTTACTAGTAAAGGATCTCTTTTTATCGAAGAAATTAAACAGAGATTCCAACGTTATAACGGTTTATTATAAGACGAGTGTTCGATTCGACGATCAAAATAAG